CTGAACAATCTGTTCTATTCTATTTTCTCCCATACTCCAGTTTCTCAATTTCAGTTTCAAAAAACCGTATGGAATTAATATCTTAGGTTCAATCGGTTTCGGAAGCATAGGAAAAAAGAGGTTGTCTACTGGTGATGGTTAAACATTAGATTCAAAACGACTTTACATTTAGTTTACTAGGTTCTGTACCTAGTCAGAGCCCTTCCTGAACTTGAGTGGAATCTGAGAGTGACTGAAAAGTTCAGCCCTTACAACCTTTAGTGACTGAAAAGTTCAGCCCTTACAACCTTTGACTTCATTTTCGAGGGCTTTGTCCTCATTTTCGAGTCGTCCTTGATGGAAAGTGAAGCTGTAAGTGCAGCGGACCCTTTCAGAATGAAAAGGCAGTTACTAAGGACTCTCCATGGTGAAAAGCATACTCAAAGCAATCAAAAGCATTTAGTACAAACAAACCCAATTTCATCAACTAAAGAGGAATGTCCCATGCCCAGATTGAAGAGAGCTCCACTCCCACTTGAGAAGGAAATTTAAATCATGCCAAGTAATGGATCTAAGAAAAGTTGCAACTTATGTAAAATCAATAAATTATCATGATTAGTCGTAAGCAGAGGATTTTCCGCCCCATTGGGGAGATCCGCAGTTGCACTTCTCATTGATGACCTTTTTTCTCGGTAGGGGGAGGGGCGCCTTCACGACTACTTCGAAGGGGTCCAAACTATTTGAAACGATTAGCTTCTTTCGTACTTTGGGTAATTACTGTACTCACTGATAGATTATCAATGGGTTTTCAGGAGGTTTCCGGTCGGTCTATATTACTCGCTGATGGGTGAGGACCTGACGAACCCGCACAAGTATGTGTTTTTTCCATTTCCATCGACTACATTTTCATCGATTTTACTTTTATCCAAGTAATAATTGCCACGAATTGTACATAATTGAGGAGAACAGAACTTTCAGAAGACCAGATTACGACGATGTCGATGTTTATTAACCTGGATCTGTTGTTTGGGTAAGTTGACACTAGCATATTCAATTGTTTGTAAAGTGGAAGAGAGCATGAAGGCTCTTTAGTCACTATGCCCGGCAGCCTTCCCAGTGATGGCTGTTATAGCAAACCATTCCTTTTGAAGAATAGTTCCATGCTATTTTACCTGAAAAAGGTTTTTCAGAGAGGTGACTAGTGTAAAAATCGATAATCGATGAGTTCTACGCAGCTGTGGTGATCGATGCTGCCTTGTGAATAGATACGTGTGTCAGACCATTTTTGGGAATAAAGAGTTTCGTTGAAATGGTTGGGAAAGGCAGGTATTCGACAGTGATATCGCTTCTGGAGTCGCTATTTTAAGGCAAATGTATTACACTACAGACAGTTCCCCTTTTCTAGCTTCCGTTCTCCACTGTGCTTTGTTGCAAGTGGCACACACACGCATGGTCCGGGGATCGAATCCCGCATCAATATTCGGCCAAGCCAACAAAGATTACCATCGCTCCGGAACGACAACTGATAACAGACCCTTCTAGGTGGATGAAAAGCACTGATTTGATCATCAGTTGGCCACCCTAAGTCGTTGTATAAGCCGTGCATGCATTCAAACCGCCTCTACGACTCTGAATGGAAGTCGGATGAAAGAAATCATCCTAAAAAGGGAGAGTAGTGCCGAAGGATTTATACTCCAATCCTCTGCACTCCTTTCACAATGGATATGCCCCAACTGTCCTCTCTCAAAGCAATGTGATTCATAGAAGCTAACGTTCGAATTCACTCTATAAAGAGCACTAACTGAAAAGGATTTTTTGAGTGGCCAAGGGCGGCTGAGAGTGGATAGTGGCAGATAGTACCTATACGAATATTTTTTCCAGATTTATTCAGTTTTTCGTTTTTTGAAGACAATGCTAATCCTCCTCAAAAGTAGTCTAACAACAAAGAAAGCGAATAATAAAGTGACAACGAATTGAGCCAACAAATATGCGATGATGTCTAAACAATGATATTGTAAGAACGATAAATCTCTTGCACGCATCATCAGATGATCCATTTGACCCTCTTCGGCCACAAGCTTCACCCAATACAGTAGATCAGCCCGTGCAGCAGCTACGCGTCCTTCAAGAGATCGTGCTACGGTAGCAGCCTTGCGTGCGTAGGTGCTGGAACATTAACCATTTGACCAGACAAATAGTTACCATCAAAATTATCAGCACAATATTATCAATTACCATCAATTATCACTCAATGGTAACTATGCAGTTCATGCTGTTATTGGGTTAGGGTTCATGATCTAATCACAGAGTGAGTAAAACAAAGGGATGATTACGGTAGTGTAGTGGAAAGCATGATACTAAAAGAGCATTCGAGAATTTTGAGCTCGGTCCTAAAACGAACAGCATGTCTAAACATAGCTGTCTTCCAGCACTTGAGATAATGATACAACAATGTTGCAACTAAATGCTACTAAGCAATAGTGAAGCCTTTTAACAGTGGTCAAATGCATGGCGCATCTCAATAAGCTTGGATTCTCTGTCAATACTAAACCCACATAGAGTATCTACAAGGAAAGCAAAACCACTCACGCATTTGGTGAAAGCACTTTGCGAATCGCTGCTGTCAAAGTGTCCTTGTTGAGATCTCTTTTGTCTATCATCACAGCTGTTCCTCTTCGTTCCATGTTTTTTGCATTGAGATACTGGTCTCCGAAAAGCGGTACCACCACCATTGGCTTGCCAGAGAACGTTGCCTCCAGAATAGAGTTCATTCCAGCGTGGGTGATGAAAGCGGATAACCGCTTATCTCCTGGAATGCTAGATATTTATTTATCGAGTTCCAACGTAAGGGTATCATTGATGACCCCCATAGGACCACTTTCGGCGATAAGCCTTACCTACTACAAATTTTCGACACAAATATTGCGATGGAGGCTCAACTTCTTGAACTGAACGGCCCAGATTTCTAACAATTACTCTACTCGGCCCACTTCAGTTTTCGACTCCTGGAGCCCTTTAATTTGACTGTTCTCGCCTTCAAAGGAAAATTCAAATTGGTCTTGATATCCGATTTTGGTGGCGAGAACTTTAGACGATGACCTTCAGGGATTCCAGCCCCCTACAGTCTACCGATCACCTCAGATAACGCCTTTCGGGAAGAGTGTTTGTGAGCGTTAACCTACCTAACAGATCCGATTGTGGTATCCACTTCATAGTGTGGATGTTCGTATGATTCTTGAACAGGTGGATATCACTATCATCTTCGTATTTCCAAATGAACGTCGTATTGGGGAACGTGGAGAATGCGCTAATTATATCTGAAAAACACAAAGCGATAGAATATAATGAGTAATTTATGACTAGTTTGTTCGCTTTTTTGCCACGCAAACGGCTGCAAGGCTCGTAAAAAGCTCTCCAAGAAGTTGATTACCTTTCTTGAGTATTAGTGGCAGATCCTTTGACTGAGAAATAGTACCGAAGGAGAGGAAGACGTTCGTGCTCCGCTCATTGAGAATAGCATCCAATCTCTAAATTTCATTTTAATTGTGGCTGATGTAGTAGTATGGTCGTCTAGGGCTTTTGGGAGGAAGTGCCCAACAGCGACATATCTAGGTGAAGCAGGATAGGAAAAAAAAAGTTGCCGGTAGCGGAACCCAATGCGTTACGTCACGTAGGCCATAGAAATTGTCCGGATGGGATTAAGAAAAACGGAATGGGACTGATTACCGCAGTACTGCAACGCCTAGAAGGACGGACTAAGCAGACGAATCTCTAAGACGTCCTGTGGTAGCTTAGGCTATCAGCTGGGGTCTCCCCTTTATAGGGATTCCAGGTCCCATCCACCCAGAGATGCTTTCATTTTGCGAATACGGCTATATACAGGTATAACAGAAATCCTACCACTGAGATCATGCTCTGGAAGAGAACTTTACCTTATTTACTTGGCTGAGTGGCTTAGGTGGATGAATTGCTATTCCACCAATATACCGAACGATGTTTGCCGTTGGCCGAGGCGTTTCTGTGTATTCGTTGATATTTAGCAATACGACTCCAACTTGCCTCTGTAAGCAACAAGTAAACACATTCACGTATTCTTTTTCACAATATACCTCATACCTTAAGAAGTTCACGAAAAGTAGGGAACCCAGGATAAATTTCATTGAAATGCAACCAGAGTTGCCGTTCCCAGATCCGGTACCGGATGTCCAATTCAAATTCGTAAATGAAATTGTTCAACCGTTCCCAAAACGTCATACTGTCACTGTATGTCGAGAATGCTCCTGGAAGAGAACTTGACAGTTATATGGCTATGAAGGTCTAGACAAGGGACAAGAGGTTAACACAAACAAGCATCTTTAAGGAGCCCTTGAGCTCAAGCAGTAAGACTGAGAAGCCCAGAGGTTTGAAGTAGGTGGGTAGTCCTACTGGTTATTGGTAACGTTGCCCATCTGGAAACCGGGAAAGGGCAGAACATTCTCCCGTTCTCAGAACAATGATACTCCTTTTCTACTGGCCCTACTGGTCTACAGTCACAATTAAGGGATTCCACTGTAGGGGGTACTTTATGGCATCAGTATATTATGTGGAAATCCATCCGACTCGGTAATGTACAAAAGCCTACCTGGTACGAAACTAGGATTAGCTGGAACTCCGGTAATTTCAGGTACATATAGCGATACTCCAAAGGCAGAGAGGGCAACTGTTTTCTTGACACCGATCAGCTTAACGACCAGTTATATTCGAGTTTCAGTGGTGTCGATGAAACAGTTCTTCTCACCTACCTCAAAAATAGCTACAGAAAATGGCTCATAGAGCTCATGTAAAGCCACATCAAATCGAGAGTTCCGCAGTCTGCCTAGAAACTCTTCATCTTCGAGAATTCCTGGAATAAAAAGCTTAGAGAAGTGTCATCAGAGCATGTGGCCCAGAAGCGCACGCCACTTATTTCACAAACATAAGCCTGATTCCTTTCTGAAATCCAAACTTTGGGTGATCCCTCAATGAAAATGCCCTCTGGAAGAGTTGAAGTAGCTAACATCCTAGAGGAAAAGGCTGTAGGTGGCACTCAAAATTTCCGCCTACAAAATCAATAGGAATGGAACTTCTTTATGGTGTCCGACAGCTTTCTATAAAATGCATACCTCGGTAGATATTTTTTAGCAACTCCACAAACAGTGCCATATCTTGTGTAGTACATGAACGACCTTCTAATGTTTCGGCATCCCAGAGTGATGTACCCTTGATACTGTAAATAATAAATAAATATACCTTCTTAGGAGAAATCAAGCAGTCAGATTCACCTCAGCTTTGAGAAGTCGTCCTCCTCATTCTTCCTCATATATTTTGAGTGATAAGACAAATGCAACACTGCCGGATTGTGCGTATGGGCACGAACATCGAGATCCAACACTGGCGAAACAATTGTCTACAAAAACTTTATCTGATTTGTAGGTTTTCCTCCAAAGTCACTTTGCATTCACCGCTGCGCGTACACTCGCCCCATTCTCAGCAGATACAGCACCTCGGCTTTTATCAAAATTTCTTCCAAAAAACATTGTTTTAGAGCAAAAGTTGAGCTGGAGATGAGGAATATTTCTCCATGAAACGCTCTATTGCATGAATATTCCTAGGGTCCTCAGTGGGACGTACTTTTGATTTGGGTAAACTCAAATGGATATGTTCGAATAGGTCTCAAAACGTCCCAGTGAATGCTTAAACTGAGATTGACTCGATATAGTTTCGCCCTTTCGACAAATTCAGTGACATAAAAACCGCCCTGGGAAAAAGTGGGGAGGAATTGATTCCAAAAAGTGTGCCCGTTGGATCAGGCGCCTTCAAGTTAGTAGATGGGTAGAAGAAAAAGAACCAACCACGTTATGTCCATCATCAGCAAGAATATCAGCGATGTTACCCAGAAAGCGTACGTGACTCTGGCCTACAGTCGGGCTCCAAATTAGAACGTTGAGACTGGAAATAAATGGAACCGATACGAGTACTAGCGCTAGGAGTAACATACCTGAACATAAATTGATTTGCCAAAAACAAGATGAAAACTTTGATTGATACGATAAGACGTAAACAAAAAACGAATAGTACGGAGTCAGTAGTTATTTACACAAAAAGGATGATAAACGCGAGCATTCCAAAGCCGTTTCAAATCAGAGTGGCCAGAGTACTAAACGGATGATGAGTAGAGAATTGAAAAGTGGTCTTTTGCGCTTCATCTGGATTCAGCCTGCTTCCTGCCAGGCCCACAAAGAGGCTGAAAGTCATCACACAACATTATGGCCTGCAGTATATATGGTCTAATAATGGCATTATTCCTGGGACGGTGTCGCTTGGACTTATTTTGTTCGTTTTGCCACCAAGGATTGATAGTGACTACTAGCACATCAAGCATGGTACCATCTCTGTACTGACCTTTCAATAGTATTCGACATGATAGGGGCAAACGACAGCTCAAATCTCCCTTCCGATTCCTCTGAATCGACCAACTATCGGCCATCTTAAGGCATTCTGATTTTCTGTTTCCCCTACGACTACCTACTCCAGTCTCGACTGCTATTTAAGTTTGCCCGACCGATTTGCAGGTCCTAAGAGAAGGATCCACTGTTCTTTAAGCGGCGTTTACCCACCAAGTACTGAACGCTGGTTGGGAAGGTGAAAAAAAAATGCAGCCTTATCTCGTTTCTGTTAAATACATACATTGCTTTCTGGTGGGTTTATAGGTGAGCCTAGGAGTAAATTTGGGAGAAAGCAAGTGAGATAGAGCCAGATAGCGGTGTTTCATAGTCGCTGATAACACCAAATAAGTCATTCCCTTTTTAGGTGAAGGTTTTATAGGTTCCGTGGGTGATTTCATGCTATTGCGCAACTAGTCAAAGGCGGTCCGAAAAACCGGTTCTACCGTAAGGGGCTTGAGAAGTTCAAAGATTGACCAAGAGTCCATTACAGTCAAGTCGAGCTTGATTTCGACAATACGTGGAAAGTTTTGGGTGGAGCTGAATAATTTATCTCATTGCTCAGTCATAGCAGGCAACAAATGATCAGTTATCACCTGAAGAAGTGGGTTACCCACACATCTTTCCCATGACATCTGCCCATTTGGCTTATCGATGCTATCAACTATGCCCGGTCGTTTTCTATATCGTTCAGAGCGCTCTTGAAGAGGAGCGGCCTTTGTTGAGAAATTGCTGACGTCAGATAAAAAAAGCGACAGTTGGTCTTATCTCCATGTCACCACCTCCAGAACAAGGAAGTTCAAAAAATTGCGAATCACTCGACTGTTAGAGCACACTTAGTAAATACTACGATACATCTTTCTTGGTTTGAATTTTCGTCTTCAAAGATGAGTAGGTAACCCACTTTCAGCATAATTGGGTGGTAGCTAATCTTTCGGAGGCCAAACGATTCTCAACGAGAAAGGTACTGAATCTGTTCATCAGAGAAGGAACGTTGTTGCAAAATTTCTGACTATAGACAAGTGCTGCATCTATGAAACCATCTTTCAAGAGTTGGAGAGAAGGGCTTCTTATAAAAGCTAAATAGGAAATCAGCACTCAGGAAACTGGTATCAAGGAATTCGGGTCGAACCCAGCGAAGATTCGTTTACCATTCCTTTTCCTTCGCATCCATCCATAATCCTATATCAAGAAAGATAGGAAACGGATCCTATTATTAATTTTTATTCAATTTTTCGCTTTGTAAATAACCTTGCGATCCTTGTTAGGAGGATTCTTGCAGTAAAATATATTAAATATGATGCCATCACAAACTGAGCCAGTAAAAATGCGATTATGTCAAGGCAATGGTATTGTATGAACGATAGGTCTCTTGCCCGTAGTAGCAGATGATCCATTTGGCCCTCTTCGGCTACCAGTTTGACCCAGCGAGACAGCTCTTCACGTGCAGCTGCCGCTCGCCCATGTAGCTGTTGGGCAACCACGGCGGCTTTACGAGCATAGCTTCTGGAACATAAATAACTTTATTATTGACTAAAAGTCTCAGATGGGTTAGTGTAGCTGCTAAAAAAAAAAGATTCTATTTGAGTCTAATAGGCTCCTCCTGGGTGCAGTCCATTCTGTTGGGAAGGCCTGTTCACCTTAGCAAAATAAAAAAAGTCACTCACGATCCAGGCGACAACGCTTCACGAATAGCTGCTATTAGGGTATCCTTGGTGAGTTTGTTCCTTTCGATCACGATAGCCAATCCTCTTCTTCGTAGATTTTTTGCATTAAGGAATTGGTCTCCAAAGAGCGGTATGGCCACCATAGGTTTGCCAGCGAACGTCGCCTCAATGATGGAATTCATCCCTGCATGAGTGATGAAAAGGGAAAGCCGTTCATCAGCTAAAAGTACATCATTTTAGTCACAATCTCCACTTCCCTACCTCCTTCACATCCTATCCCCTCCCCTCTCCCACGATCCTTCCCCCAGCGCGGATAAAGGGAATAGGCGATTAGAAGAGAATTGTGTGATCACTCACCTAACAAATCGTTTTGCGGTACCCATTTCATTCTACGTATGTTGGGATGAGCTCCAAATAACTCTGTCTCGCTTTCGTCCTCATATTTCCATATAAATGTTGTGTTCGGGAAACTAGCAAAAGCCTCTACTATGCCTGAATGATAAAGAAATCAAAGGCTTCCGAGCTCCCAAACTCTACTGTCTAAAGAAGTTCAAAAGTGAAAAGATAAGCTTGACGAAATAGACTGGAGCATGACCAACCTTTCTTCAACCAAAGGGGCATATTCTTCGCCTGAGTGAAAGTACCAAATGAGAACAGAACGTTTGAGTTTCGCTTATCCAGCAAAGTGTTAAGCTCCTGAAAGGAGCACAAATAGGTTTCAACGGTGATAGAGAAGCAGAAGCATGGCGCTGAGGGAAAGGTTCAGCACGAATTTCATCCATTAACAGATCTTTACGTAACCTCCCCGGTCGACCAACTTCCCCTCTTTTGCTTGTTTCCTGAGGTTTCCAAACCATTCAACGACGTAAGAAAACCCTTCCAGACGTAACAACGACCTCATGGTTTCCGCTACATGCGTTTTACCTCAGTACTTAATGATATGTCAAACACTTGTAAAGTTCTAGCGGTACCTTGTCTAACGGCTTTGGTTCAGGTATGGATATTCCTGCAATATATCGAACAATATTAGCTGTGGGACGGGGTGACTCAATGAATTCGTTGACATTTAGAAGAACAACTCCGACCTTTTGCTGTAATCAGAAAAATGTTTACAATTAACCTGCCAATCTATCATCTTCCAGGCTCAATTGTTCACCTTTAGCAACTCTTTGAAATCCGGGAAACCCGGATAGACGGCATTGAAATAGGACCAAACTTTTTGTTCCCAAATAAAGGAACGATAGCTCAACTCGATTTCAAGTTTGAAGTTATCCAAACGTTCCCAGAATGTCATTTCATCGCCATATGTCGTGTATGCGCCTATAACGACCTTTTTCACTTTCAACGTAGCGTTTCGGAGTGACACAGGGTGGGAGCCTACTCTTCGTCATACCCTTATTTGGGAAAAACCACAACTTACCTGGAATATAGCTTGGATTCGTGGGAACTCCTGTGACTTCTCGGACATACGGTGTTATTCCTATAGCAGACACAGCTACAGTTTTCTTCACACCAATCAGCTTAAATAGAGACAACTTAGGAAACTACTAAAGGCAGTGTCCACTCTGAGAGTAACCGTCAATATAGTAGTCAAAACAGCTCCGATCCTACCACCAGATTCCATCTCTTTAGAAAGTATTCACTACTAAATCAAAGGGATTCCCTAGTGATGCGTAGAAAACCCCTACCCTCAACGTTGACACCGCCTTTGAGAGAACTTTTATGGACTCAGTAGCAATGTCTTACCTCGAAAACACCAACTTGATATGGATCATAAATCTCATGCACAGCAATGTCGAATTTGCAATCACGAAGTCTGGCCAAGAAGTCCTTGTCTTCGGCCAATCCTTGAAACCATACTTATTTCCAGAGCATGAAAAATATTGAAAACAAAGTGCCACTGGGATTGAGATTGAGTAGGAAAGAACAAGAAAATGGAATATAGGGGGATGCAGGAGGGAAGTCAAATGGATGATTGACGAGTAGGTGATTCGGCACACGTGAGGTACTTTTTCATTAGCGACGTTTGAAACTGGACGACTTAAGGGCTGTGAAGTTCGTTTTCTCAGGGAAATTGCCTCAATGGCAGAGCCCCACCCGAGGGCGACGACTATCTTTACAGAGAAAAGTGCAAAATTCACGGGGAAAGAAAGCAATCCTTAGTAAAGCGAACCTCGATACATATTTTGTGTGTTCTTGACAAATCCCTCAAAATCGCTCCTACTGAGCGAAAATCCCTGCTCCACTGGTGATTCCCAGAAGGAAGATGTCTTGATCCTGGAATTCTTGAGTAGCTTCAGTATTCCACCAAAGTTTCGGAAACAAATAATCAGTCTAACTCCATTTTTGAGTAGTCTTCAGCTTGATCCATATATTTGGATTCGTAGGGTATTTGTGAAATCGCATATTTGTGTCCAATCATATCGACGCGAGGATCAACGATCGGGGAGATGATGGTCTGAAGGAAGAGCTATTTAAGCAGAATGCCATGAAATTGTAAAGAAAACGCTCTCAGGGTCTCTCAAGGTTGACTACCAAATGACCACAACAATGGAGGTATCTCCAAATATTTTTCGGAGGTGACAATAAAAGATGATAAGTGCATCCCTCACGCACAGAGTTCCGTTTTTACGGAATTTCTGTATTAGTCCATCCAATCATCAAAGATCGCAACCTTCAACTGTCATATCAAATAACTCAGATCTATTACGAAAAACCAGAAAACTGTGGTTTGTAGTTTGTGGTTTGTTAGCCGCAGAGGCAATCACTGGCGCTGTGTTGGCCGAAAAACCGTTTTCCCTTCAGTCACATTTCTATCTCTGTCTTTCCCGACAGTATCCAACATTTACAGCAGAAGCAACATCCATGGGGCAGCCTACTGATGCACTACCTATAGCCATCGCCATATTTGCAATTATTGTACTCCCCTTCTACTCCTGTTCACCACAGCAGGGTCAGAAACATGGAGAAATTGGAACAAATACAGTAAAAAAAACGAACCACATTGTGGCCATCTTGGTGCAGAATGTCAGCTATGGATCCTAGAAAACGAACATGACTGTAGCCAATAGTTGGATTCCATACTAGAACGTTGGCACAGTAGGCACACGTAGTTATATAGCACAGTAATAATATATTATACATCCCTGAAAGACTGAATTAGAAAGGTACAAAATGGAGTTATCGGCGTTCTTAAAGGCACAGTTCACGAAAACACTCTAAGATTTCCCATTAGAATGAATTGAAGGCCCCCTCTTAAACCATATCTGACGCTATTAGATTCGAAAACGGCCTAGTTAGGGCGTTGTAAAGTCTCAAAAAATTTCTTCTGTGTACCCTCGGACGAGTTTCACTGGCACTGTAGAGGCTGCACCATTCTTAAGAAACGTAAGAAGCTCAAATAACTTGTCATGACCAACAGCGACAGTGAAAGACAGTCCTGTACAGTTCTCGCTTGATATAGTCAGCTCTTTGCACAATTGCAACAACTGAAATCTCGTCCGAAACCCCTTCTATGTTATTTCCGTCATAGAAATCTCGTCCAATCCCTATTTTCCCTACTTTACTACTTACTTGGCCTTATTTTTCTCGAACTCGATGAATTTTATTACTTTCTCCGCTACCGTTGTGGCTTACCCCACCAGAATCAGCCGAGAAATCAACCTCTGTGATTTCACTAGCGTTGTCGTCCCACTCTAATTCGTGAACAATAAGGGGCCAATGAGACATCAGCGACGGTCGCGAGATAAGAATTAGGCGGTGATCTCAAGGCATACAAAAGAGAATAAATGGCAGAAGTTCGCTCGTTATGGCAATGCACTCATTTCGCTTGTTCATGTTAAAGTATCTGCCGTGGATGTGCAGCTCTTCCAATATAATTCTGGCACCGATCTTTCTTGGCTGGGATCTTCTAGTGTTCGAGTTCCTGGCCTAGCGCGTTCGGGCGCTTGTCGGGTAAGCCGCTGATCAGTAGCTTCGACCTTCTCCCAGGTCCTTGATGACCACAAGTTGTTCGAAAAGCCGACCCAATAATGCGTTTTCATCATAACAAACCTGTACGGCAAAACAGTGTAAAAGCATAACTGGGAATATAAAAATTTCACAGTCCCCTAATCTCTGCGGATTTTATACGGTTCTTCATTAACACGGAAAAAAAGATGAAAGGAGGAAATCAAGAATAGGTCAGCAGAAGGACAACTTTGCTTCCATTAGATGATGAGACAAATTTCTTTAAATATGGTCCTGGTTAAACTGGTTTTTGTGTTAGTCTTCGTTTAGTAGGAAATGACTACTAATCATATCAACACTGATTGAATCGATGTAATACTTGTTGACAAGGAAAGCAATGCCTATGAAGGGTTTATCGCTCGCACCGGAAAATTATGTCAATGCACGTACAAGATGAAGTACAAGGACGTCTGNGATGATGAGACAAATTTCTTTAAATATGGTCCTGGTTAAACTGGTTTTTGTGTTAGTCTTCGTTTAGTACGGAAATGGAGCGCGACTACTAATCATATCAACACTGATTGAATCGATGTAATACTTGTTGACAAGGTAAGCAATGCCTATGAAGGGTTTATCGCTCGCACCGGAAAATTATGTCAATGCACGTACAAGATGAAGTACAAGGACGTCTGACGACGATTAGCCCCATTTCGGAATGCGCCATGCATTCTTCTTCTATTCAAAGTGGTGGGTTGTGTTAATTGTATAGCTGCATATCTGGCCCACAGAACTGACTGCTAAAGGTGTTCAGGCTAAGGGGCCGCATATTCTCATATGAAATATGAACTTGCTTGTATCAGGCAAGTCGTGATCTTTACCCACCCCAGCCTTATCCTTAACCAGCATCGATAAAATCGTTGCAAGCTTACAGTTACTTAGTACTTTGACTAAGGATAAGCGATGAAACTGCCTGGCTCTTGTTTAAGGTTGAAAGGGACGATTCCCAAATGGATCTCATGGCGTTAAATAGTTTTTTCAGGAAAGGGGAACTAAAGAAAATAGAAATTGACTTTTTAAGTATGTTCTCATCCAATATGAATTTTCGGTCCATCAGACTTAATCTTCCGACTCCTACAAAACTGCTGAACAACTCCTATCCAAAACCTATCTGAAAACAATGAATGCACTGCAGGAAATTCAAAAAAAAATCCCAAATTCGGCAATGTATAGTAAAAAAATTTGCTCGAAAAATGCAAAGATAGACAGACTGACCAGATCTAACGTAGTTGAGGCAGGGTATGCATCTGTGCTGTTTTGCTTCACACGATAAGGCTCCGTAGCCTTTACGTATGGTTGCGTAATTCAGTGCAACTGGAAAACGTCAGCCGTCTCCTGTTCTTATCGGTGGAGAGAGAGTCCACTTTTCGCTTCTTCCCTCCTTGAGAGAGAATCTTCTTTCTCAAAAAAGATGCGAAGAATATCAGTAAGACTGGAGTCAAATTAGAATTGCACGATGATCAAGCCATACAGTTGGAATTCCGTTGGAAACACTCCATGGAAAACGTTCTATTTGGTACTGATCCCTTTATTTACAATTTTTATTCAATTTTTTTCTTCTGAAAAGCCAAATTGATTCGTTTTGATAGATATCTCATAACCAAGAACACCACACATAAGGCGACCACAATTTGTGCTAAAAAGTAGCCAATGATGTCTAGGCAGTAATACTGTATGAATGAGAGATCCCTCGCTTTCATCATAAGGTGTTCCATTTGGCCTTCTTCTGCCACCAATTCAACCCATCGCGTTACTTCGGCACGGGCAGCAGTAGGTAATCCTCGAAGATAGCGGGCTACTGTAGACGCTTTGTGTGTATACTTTCTGAAATACTGTAAAGTCAGTGAATGTAAAAGTCAAGACAAGTTAGAAAGAACAATAAAAATATCCTAATGACAATATCTCGTATTCTATCTGTAAGCTGGAAGGACCTCCAGAATTCAAGTACCACCTACCCCAATACGCCGGTTCTACAACCCGCGATCCATACTTTGAAAGCCCACAAGTTATATAGTTATTTTGCCCAAAAATAGCTTTTTATCAGAAATGAAAAACCACCCACGCATTTGGTGATAGCACTTCACGAAGAGCTGCTATCAGTGTGTCCTTGTTCAGATTGTTCCTCTCAATCAGTACTGCCAATCCAATTCGTCTCAGATTCTTGGCATTAATGAATTGATCGGCGAAAAGCGGGATAGTAATCATTGGTTTTCCAAAATATGTTGCTTCGGTAATGGAGTTTAAGCCAGCATGCGTAACGAACAGAGATAACCTTTTATCGCCTGAAAAATCCATTATGGTCATTCTCTCCTAGTTCTCCTTCTAGTTTGTTCGGTCCCCCATAGATGGTGGCAGTCTTTGGCTGAGTAAGAGCGGATGAGTGGATGACACTTAACAAGATGGTAAACCCTGCTCACCCAGCAGATCGACCTGCGGCACCCACTTCATCACATGAACGTTAGGATAGGGCTCGAACAGTTCCAGGTCATCCTTGCCATCATATTTGAATATGAATGTTGTGTTAGGGAAAGCTGCGAAAGCGTTCAGTATATCTGAAATCAGTACTTACCATTTGATTCACTCTGTGAGGGCCATTTGCAGAAGAAAAAAATGTGAACAAATTCTGAATACCTTTCTTCAAACGCAATGGCATGGTGCTTGATTTGGCGAGAGATCCCATTGAGAATAAAACGCTGGTGCTTCGTTTATCAAGAATAGCACTGAGCTCCTGGATCGTACCTTTACTGATTTTTACGGTCTCAATGAAGCCATGTGGAAGTCAGTAGATTCACCTGATTCAAAGGCTTGGGCTCAGGAATCGCCATTCCACCGATGTATCGAACAATATTCCCTTTAGGACGAGGTGTCTCAGTGAATTCGTTCGCATTGACCAGTATAACACCGATTTTTTGCTACAACTACGAGTTCGTTCTTTTGTATTCCTATATTCGACATTGAGAACCAATCATTCGAGCTTACACTCACTTTAAGCAGTTTTCGTAAATCAGGGAAGCCAGGAGAGGCTTGGTTGAACAGCTGCCTCAACTTTTCTTCCCATTGGAGAAATCGGTAATTCAATTCGATTTCACATTTGAAGTTGTCCAGTCGTTCCCAAAATGTCATCTCATCGTTGTAAGTTGTAAAGATTCCTTAAAAACTACTGTACTGCTGACAAACAAGGTGAAAAGCTCTCCAACTCTTGAGACTGTTCCATGCCCACGATTACCTTCCGAAAACTAGTAGAAATCTAATGTAGATATTTGGCCTTGCAAGGTCTAGTTGATGGTCAGTCTAGGGTCAGTCTCTGCCTTTCCATTTTATCCCTCGAATCAACCGTGATCCAATCGGGGAATTCGGACTGCATGGGATCTCACTTATACTAGCCTAAGCTTGAAGTGGAACCCATAAAAGAGATTAAAGAGCCAATGAGAAGTGAAAAATCCACCAGTAAGTAGTTACAAAACCCATCAAGTGTCACTCAAGCCATAGTTTGTAATCAGAGCAATAAGACGAGCAACAATTATCATGCCTCCTAAGATGCGCCATACATACGTCATTCAACCAAATTTGTTGAACTGTTAGTACGTAGATACCCAACATAAGTACTGCAGTATTGCACTGTAGTCTACAGTTCAAACATACTTTCGACTTGCCCAAAAGAGTTTTATTGATAAGCTAGGGGCTGCAAATTGTAAAGCATGTAGGCTGACCTGGAACAAAGCTCGGATTTGGTGGTATGCCAGTGATCTCTTTCATGTGCAGCGTCATACCAGCAGCCGATACCACGATAGACTTTTTGACGCCGATAAGCTAAACAAAAAGGAATGTCGAATGTTTACCTTGTTTGTTTACTGTTTTATTTACTCTTGACTTCCTTCAAAGTATTTCTTAAAAATTCATTACCTCAAGAAAGGCAACAGCTGATAGTTCATATAGTTCATGAAGAGCAACATCGAATCGTGAATTCCGCAGCCGATCCAGAAGTTCGTGGTCTTCGATTAGTGCTGAAATAGTTTCTGTCAGATGGCTCTGCCTCACAAAAGCCTCTTTCCTATCAACAACAGCAATCAGCTGCCCCTGACGTCTTCAGAACTTCAGGCTTCAGCTCCTTTTGAAGACAAACAACCAACTTCATCATGAGGTGACTGGAATCTATATCCCACAAGAACTATGAATTACTTCACCAATCGAAACTTGCCGATCGATATCGATCAAACATATCGGACTTTGCTCAGCTGATGACTGGGCTTGACTTTTGTTAGATTGACTCGAGTGGATCGTCGACTTCACAACGCTTACGGTACAGTGTGTAGGGACTTTGGAGCTCTATACCCTGTGCCGTAGCGTTCAGCCAATACTGGTACCCTAAGTAGTAGGTAATAGTACTATCTATACAAACCTTTACACATTAGCCAGGCGTTTTCGTGATATCTCTTAATGTCCTCCACACTAATGGAGCGGCCCTTCACCATTGGAGACGTCCAGAACGCAGGGCTTCCCATACTGTAATTTCTTGGTTCCCTCCGAATAAAGAGTAAGATTTCAGAATTTCAGAATACTGTTGACTCACTCGTAATCCTCGAAACCGCTATTATTCAAATACTTCGAATAGTACGGTATTTGAAAAATTGTTTTGGTGTGTCCGACCAAGTTGGCATGAGGATCCATTACTGGGGAGAAAATAGTCTAAAAGAACTTGAATCACTGCAAACAAGTCGTTAGAAATTCGTATGGTGCTCATGAGGGCAAGCACTCTGGAGGACCTCAATCGGGCCTACCTGATAAGGCCCGATATCTACTTCTTAGATGAAGAGACTACAGCCGCAAACAAACGGTGCAAGACCGGTGACGTTTTTTCTACTCGCGACCCTTCAATCATTTGATTTGCCCAATTAATCATTTAATTTCGGAAATCTTACCGTCCTTGACTGAAGCGTCATGCCTATAAAAGGATGGGAGAAGCTGTCTCATTGCCCTCAGCTTCCTAGTCAGGAACCTTCCCATATGTGAGTGATTCTATCGGGTATGGTCTCAAGGTGCACGACCGAAGCACTCGCAATAAGCCCAATCACGTCTTTTCGTACACCAACCAGCCAAAGAGAACTGGGAAACGAAGAACTCACCACATTGTGACCACTGTCGTGGAGAACGTCGGCGATGTTGCCCAGAAACCGAACATGACTGTGGCTGATGATTGGGTTCCATACCAGAACATTGAGCGAAGAAATAATCGTAACAACAGTACATAGTACTAGTAAGGGTAGCATAGTGAAGTACTTATAGAGCTCACGTAGAATTTTATCGGCCGAACAAGTTCACTGTGAGTCCACCCTTAACGGAAAACAATATCGATAAGAAATATTAGTAATTGATACAAGGAGAATCATTCCAGACGAAGTTTTTCCATGATTGAAGCCCCAAACGAGAATCAGAGCGGTCTGGAGTCGATGATAAGGTGCTTACACTTTTATCGTGCCTAGGTCAATGCACAACACGATCCCCGTGCCTTCTACATCGGAGTGAATAAGTGGTTGTCTGGTTGTTTACGACATCGTTTTCTTTACCTAATATCCTCAACGCCAAAAGGGAGGGTGAAGTTTTTGCCCTTGGCAGACCCTTTTTGCGATTTGCCTAACATTCCTCTTGCTGAGGCTAGCCGAACGGCAAGAATCCTTATTAGTAGACTCCGAATCCTTGAAAATTAGGAAGGATGACAGGCTCGGTTAGTCTAAGCAGGCAATCAGACGAGTTTGCCTCCGTCCCATAATTGTGGTCAAGGTGTCTATTACATTACTACGACTCCTCTAGTGCGTAAGTACACGTAGTAAGGACATCCGACAAGAAGCCCTTTATGAGTAACAGTCCTGTCGAAACCTAAACCCTTGATCCAAATGAAACTTAGGCAAATCATGATAAATTTATGTACGATAATGGAAGTGATGAAAATTCAGAATAATGCGAAAGTGGCGAAGAGAATGCAACAAGCAGTATGTTCGGGGAAATATGTTTAGGACTTCAGGAAAAAGTGAAATGAAAGGTTGTACGAGAGTGTCATGACAAAATTACATGGAAGTCATATTTGGACGTACTGTCCAAATGTGTGTGCCACTACCAGCAAGCCGCCTGCATGTAATGTGTGCATTCCGGGCGAGTGGAGCAACCTCTACGGCCTTTACACGCCGTGAGAACTCGTCCGCCCCTGGGTGTGAACGTCGGTCAAGGTGGTTATGGGACTATAACTACGATCTATCTGGACCATTATTGACTCAGCAGCTCTCTTCTCTATCCTTCGACGTTACAGGTTCATCCCAGAGGGGAAACTCAGAGGTCATATTTATCGTGAAAAACATATGAGTTAAGGCGAACAATCTTACACACAATTCGGGATATTCCGCACAGAGGACTATTCAACGAATAATTCCTCAAATAAACAGCTATCGACTAAATTTGATGAAAGCTTTTAATGGTGAGAGAATACTAATAGATGTACAATAAACAGTGCACAACTGCGAGTATTCTGTCGGGAGCAGGTTTGACTGTCGCAACTGGTCTTTTCGAGAGAGTAAATCACGTCTTTCATGTCATCGCTTTGAGTGTAGCAATCATGGGCGCACAGTAAGTACAGTTTCGAGTGCAGTCACAGGGAAGTCAAAACCAATATTGACAATCATCGATAAAAACCATCGACAGGCGAGGTGAAGGAAAGGCGTGAAATAACAGCCAGTTCGCCCATTACTTCAAAACTCAAAAAGTCATCCTATAGAGGGATATGACTGCTTTCAGTCCGAAGCACGACTCCTCCAAATGAAGGGGAAAAGAGATAACTTGAGGAAGCCAAGTGATTCAGCGCGATTATCCTAGGTGAGTTTCCTCAATCATCATTTTTTTCGGACAACATGAAGATAGTATCTAGGAAAAGGATGAGAGGGTCATAAGTTCTCGCAAATTGGTATTTTGTGGCGGTTCGGTCCGCTGCAAGCGACCACACCGTTGCTAGCTATGTACAATTTTTATTCAGTTTTTCGCTTCCGAAACACTGAAGCGATTTGTTTGTAGAGATATCTCAAAACTAACAACACCACACATAAGACGATGACCAATTGTGCTAACAAATAGCCAATGATGTCGAGGCAGAGGTACTGTATTAAGGACAAATCCCTGGCCCGCATCATGAGATGATCCATCAGACCTTCTTCTGCCACCAGTTCCACCCATCGTGAAACTTCAGCACGTGCAGCAGCACGTCGGCCACGAAGAATCCGGGCTACTGTAGATGCTTTGTGTGCGTAATTTCTGAAACAGTATCTGTAGAAGTACGTTCTACTCAACAACAGGTCTTTGAACTGGTTACAGGACCGTTGTCAACCGCGTGTGTAGTGACTCAGCGTTTTTGTCGTTTTCTCTGCGACTCCCCAAATGGGCATCTCACTGCGAAGAGGATAGAGGGCAGACGAAAGAGCTCGCCATACCTCAATGCCTCCTTTTACCAGTAATACAATGGGATACCTAGCGAAAAGATTGAATCAATGGTGTTACAGATCTACAAACGATATTGTCGATCTCAGCGCTGATTCCCATAAAAGCAAAGTAGCAAATAGGTTGCAAACTTGGGTTTTCTACAAGCTACACAGATTTTCCTNAATGTTTTATTAATATGTGGACAAGGATCAAGCCTTTCCTTTTCTCAGACTACCTGAACTTTGAAATACGAAGTTTCCATAGTTGGGAGAAGTCTGTCTTTGTGAAAATTCTTCGACTCTTGGACCCGTTCGAATATCCACTCTTGACGAGAGAGCGCTATGAAGGAGAGTACGGACAAATAGCGGACACGCCCTCCTCTCGCTGGTGAACACGAGACGCAGAGATTGCATCACCGTCTGATTCTCTCAACGAGAGAAATTCTGGTTGACAACAGCCCTGTAACCCTTTGAACTATGGAACAGTTGATTTTGAAAGTTTTCAATGCATGGGAATCAAAATTTTTATATTGTAAAAGCCAAAAGTCCTAGAAACAAATGAAACTCTTCATGGTACAGCCAACCCTATTAGAGTGAACTCTACACCTCTCTGAGGACATTCTACTGCTACTCTTTGCTCTACAAGCATGACTTTTAAGTGAATCCTTCCACTCGGGTGAATTTTAAAAGACTTCAAAGATTTTCATCTGGCAATAAGTTGTTTCCTAAGGTGAAAGACCACTCACGCATTTGGTGATAGCACCTCACGAATGGCTGCTATCAGTGTGTCCTTGTTCAGTTTGTTCCTCTCAATCAGTACTGCCAACCCAATTCGCCTCAGATTTTTGGCGTTAATAAACTGGTCGCCAAAAAGCGGGATAGTAATTGTTGGTTTTCCAAAATATGTTGCCTCGGTGATGGAATTCAACCCAGCATGCGTGATGAACAGAGATAACCTTTTATCACCTGAAACAACTATTTTGATTCATCTCTTTTAGCTCTACTTCTGCTATGTTCAGTGGCCAGTAGATGGCGACAGTCCTTGATTGAGTAAGAGTGAATGGGTGGATGGCAATGAACAAGATGGAAAAGTGGAAAAAAACCCTGCTCACTCAGTAAATCCACCTGCGGCACCCACTCCATCACATGAACATTCGGATAGGGCTTGAACAGTTCCAGGTCATCTTTGCCATCGTATTTGAATATGAAAGTTGTGTTAGGAAAAACAGCGAAAGCGTCCAGTATATCTAAAATCCAGCCTATAGGAAAGTATTCTTTGTGTGTGGAAGAAGAACCTAATCAAAAACCTTTTTTTAAGCGCAAAGGCATGGTGCTCGACTTAGCGAATGATCCCATAGAGAACAGGACGTTAGCGTGTCGTTTATCCAGAATTGCACTGAGCTTCTGGATAACACATTTATAAATCATGTACGAATTTTTCTTATTTCCTAAGCTTAATCGCAGAGGAGTCAAGTAGACGAGTAGTAGATTTACCTGATCCAAGGGTTTCGGCTTAGGAATCGCCAATCCACCAATGTATCGAACAATGTTCCCTCTCGGACGAGGTGTCTCAGTGAATTCGTTCGAGTTGATCAGTATAACACCAGTTTTTCGCTACAACTATGAGTTAACTCGTATGTTTCTCAATTTTTGGCACTTAGAATCATTCACCTAAGGTGCTACTTACTTTGAGCAACTCCCGCAGGTCAGGGAAACCAGGAGAAACGTCCTCGAACATTTTCCATAGATCCTTTTCCCACTGAAGGAAACGGTAGTTCAGTTCAATATCAAGTTTGAAGTTGTCCAGTCGTTCCCAAAAAGTCATTTCATCACTGTAGGTAGTGAAGAGCCCTGAACAGGATCCTACTAGCCTCAAGGATGGGCCTTGCATACGAGTTCAGTTCGCAACCATTAAACAACTGAATTCTCCATATGAAGAGATTTCTCTCAAGCCAAATTCGTGCAGTTGGCCCTACAGTTATTTGTGAAGTGCAGTGAGGAACGATCCGGGGCACTTTGCCCCATGCCCGTTTAGAACTACGAACTCAGGTAGGGAATACGAGTGAGTGGAAGGCGATCCTATTTACATTACGGTAGTTCTNGGGGGGGGGGGGGAGTGAGCAAAGAAAGGGGATAGCATGCAAGCTGACCAAATTTGCTCTTTTCAAATTCTGAACTTATAAGCGATCAGATGGGGCTTCTATTAGCACAACCCTGCTTCCAAGAATAAGTAATTATGCACAATTATTTAGCACATAGAAAACGAAAACAACTGAACCAAGAAAAAACGAAATTCAGGTAGCACTACAAGAGAGATAAATTCGAGACGTACCTGGAACGAAGCTTGGATTTGGTGGAACACCAGTGATTTCCTTCATATGAAGCGTCATACCGGCAGCTGATACCACAATGGTCTTTTTCACTCCGATCAGCTTAATAAGAGGAACCAAATTAGGTTCCGATTTTGTTTTCTATGCCATTTTAATGGCCCTTCTTTTCTGTAGCCATTTACCTCGAGAACACCTACAGCGGTCAGATCATATAGTTCATGAAGGGCGACATCAAATCGAGTATTACGAAGGCTGTCCAGAAGTTCGCGATTTTCGATCAATCCTTAAATGGTTATTATCACTCGAATCCCACTTGTCAACTCCTTTTCACCTTCAACAGTGGATTTTACTTCTCTCGTGATATCACGGAAAACTCCTTTAGCAACAATCGACACACAACCTTATCCCCAGACTACTAACCCACCAATACCGTCCAGTACACAATCATGATGGCTATTGATCTTTTTTTTTCTACGGAAAAAGCACAAAACATGCTTTGGGCTAAGTGCTAAGTGACTGAAATGGAAGCTTACNGATTTTACTTCTCTCGTGATATCACGGAAAACTCCTTTCACAACAATCGACTCACAACTTTATTCCCGGACTACTAACCCATCAATATCCTCCAGTACACAATCATGATGGCTATTGAACTTTTTTTTCTACGGAAAAAGCACAAAACATGCTTTGGGCTAAGTGCTAAGTGACTGTATTGGAAGCTTACGGCTCTGAAATACTCTTATTTTGCGCACTCGTATTCTGGTGCTCGATAGTGATCGATTTTATCGCTTTTGTAGAAGGGTTGTAATATATCAATGATTTCTAAGCCATTTCTTCGNAAAAGAGCCCATCAAACGGTATGTGAATGACAATAGTGCTTCCTCTACAAACCTTTACACAACAACCGAAACACGTCGTTCACTCTCTTCAAATCTTCTGTACTGATAGAACGTCCTTCGATAACTGGAGAAGTCCAGAATGCAGCGTTCCCCAAGCTGCAAATCATCTGGTACATTACATTTCAAAAATGACAAACCTAGATGCTCCCTACTCGAGATCCCCAAATCCATCCTGTTCCAAATACTTCGAATGGAAGGGTATCTGGCGAATTGAGTTCGTGTGCCCTACCATGTTGACGCGGGAATCCAATATTCCGGACAAGATTGTCTAAAAGGATTTGAATCTTGGGGCTCCAAGTTGGCAAAACTTTGTAGGAAATCTATCATAGACACGCTAGTATACGTATGTATCGTAATAAGATTATTCGGAGCGACGATTGGACCCTTTTCCCTGTCTTTAGTTAGTCAGCATTGGGCAAAACTTTGCCCTGTTGGGGAACTTCGCTCTGCCTGAGAAGTTTGATTGAGGCCAAACATCTTAACCCTAGAATCCTCTGTAGCCTAAACCACACATTCAGTAACTCCAGTACATAAATTACTCTATTACTCAAATATCTGATCACCTTTCACTAGAAGGGCAACTCAAGACAGGGTAAAGAGCATGAGGTGGTGCCATCCATCGAAAGCTGCAGCTCACTGCAGCTAGCGCAGCATCACTATGTATACGTCAAGCTCACGATTGTAATGTGATGGTCCTGACGAGGTTGTCGTTGATCGGTCGCCACGATGAGGCAATTCAGCCCCGGCAAGCAGCGACACCTATCACCCTAACGCTTTATGGAGAACTCTTGAGTGAAGGACTCACCACATTGTGACCACTCTCAAAGAGAGCATCGGCGATGTTGCCCATGAAACGGACATGACTGTGGGCCATCGCTGGATTCCATACCAAAACATTAAGAGAAGAAGTTGTCGGAGTCACAGCATACAGTAGCAGCAAGGTTAACATCCTGTAGCATCGCATAAGCACTCGCGAATGTTTATTTGCGGATTCCCAATGAGTGCAACCTCAAAATGAAACTATAGCTACAGGAATAACTGGAGTTCGTTACTAGTATAAAGGTCAATTGAAGCAGCTGGATGGATTACCCTCAATGGCTAGAAACTTAAGGCAAGCAGTAACTATACTGAACAAAGTCATCTGGTTAAACGATATTTTAATCAGTAAACCGATACAGCCAAAATTTCTGGCGAGTACATAACTTTACGGTAAAAGTTTAGTGGCGAGAGGAAACACACATTTGAGCAACGATGATTGACTACCGAAGAGAACTGGTCGTATTGAGCGCATTCGTCGAGACATACAGCATGAGCGAGAGGGTGGCAACACATGGGAACACAGTCGGTAACCCCTTTTTGCTGGAAACTGATGAGGTGAGGAAGGAGCAGGAAGGAGGGAGGATAGGAACATCAGATGCCCTCTTCACTGCACTACACGAGTTTTCGAAAAGCAAGATATCCATGTGCAGTTCGACCTCTTCTGCCTACGACTGAAATTCTTTCCTGGCCGACCTGTCCCCCTTGAAGGCAGGCAAGTGGCTCATCACAACTCATTTCGTTAAGGTATCAGATCCTATCAGATCCTAGGCGAATCTCCCAGGCTACTGAGCCTTTCATCCATGTGAGTCGTTTAATTGTCCCCAAACTAGTCTGTAAGAGTGAAAAAACTTATTTTTTTTTGCCGGACGACCACGTTCACCATTGTATGAACCTAATATGTGTTCAAAACTAGTCA